CACGTAGAATTAAGGCAGTTCTGAAGGCGAAAGGGGGTCAAACACCGTATTAGTATGGTGTTCCTAATAATCCTTTAGGTGAGTGTATATAAGTGCAAGTGAAATATGCAGTTTTGGTCTAAACAGCTTCTCATACATATCACCATGTTTAGTTATCTTTTTTATTTAAACCAATCAGTCTCTGGAGTGATTCAGGGTTGCATTTCACTGCATGTTGTACATGTATATGCATGTGAGAAATAAAACTTCTTGAATCTTGAGTCTAGTTTGGTAAAGCGCCCTGGCTCTCAATATTATGTCACAGAAGTGCTGCTGGCTAATAACAATTTTTGTAGGTCATTCCATCCTATAATTGTTGCCACTTTCAATCTAAAGAAATACAGGACTTCCTTCACGGTAAAGTATTAAATATGTTCCATATTGGTGCAAGATGGGACACAGCATTTCAGCTTCACCTTTAAGCTCGTAGGTTAAACTCCACACATAATTGCACCGCTACTCCAAAACAATGGAGCATAAATAAGTCGCTTTGTTAGTTAATAATTTAGTAGTTATTTGTAATAACTAATTTAGTAATTATCCCAAAAACCTGCATACATACCGGCCCTTTGCAGATAACATTGGCCACCCCTGTTTTAGCATGTCTGTGATTCATCAGGGGTGTGAAGCCCACCAGGGGGCAGGAATGTGCACAAGCGTACAAAAAGGGGGCAGATTGCACTTGCAAATTCACCTTTGGGTACATCCTCAGGCTGCGTGTGTGTGGAAATTGAACACCTAACCCAGATTCTCTTCAATATATTCTGTTAAACATAAAGCAAACAATAGTGCCCATGGGGGATGCGGCCAAATGTGCCAAAATCAGAGAGATTTTTTCAAAAGAACCAAAAGAACTGACAACAGGTAAATGTGGTTAACCTGTTGCAAAATATTAAACCGATTCAAATAGCGTATTTCTATCGCTTATCATGACGAATCAATGTGTGCGCAAATGTAATTTTAAGAAATAAAATGTATATAAAAAAACTAAAGCACGATCTAAGTATTCAGTAAAATGACCATTTAACCATTTTGTAGTTTCTGACCAGCAGTCCCCTGTCAGTCGGTGTTCTGCCAAGAATGAGGGACTGATGAGCAGTGAGGATGCCAGGACGGCGGAGGGGGCAGGTATTATATATGAATTAAAGTTACTAAAGGCCTTTGTGCTAATGTGCACAGAGAAGGAAATCCTTATGTTGATAGATAATGAGACGGTAATAAACAAAGTTGCAGAGACCAGTACACTACTCAGGCAGCTGTTACCGTTATAGATGGCTACTGTTATAGATATTATGTTATTGTTGTTTAAGCCATTTACAGGTAAAAATTTGTATAGTAGTACAACATGCCGCACATGTGAAGAACTTGTGTTTCGTTCATATTTGAAAAAAGCAAATAAAACCAGTGAATAATAAGAAATGAAATATTGCCTTATTTATCCAGTTTTCACTTTCCTGAAAAAAAGTGGGCTGGTCATGGGCATGAAGCTCCCCAACTGAGTACTGCCTTCACTCCGGCTCGGTGCAGCTTTATCATTTTTTTCCCTTAATTTTTTTCCACATTTTTACCCTCACGGGCACCTAAATAAATCACAAATTGCCACTTAAGTCCAGGACTCTCATTGTTTTAATTTTAACAAAAACCCAGAGAGCAAGCATACCTGCCCCAGTGTGCGACAGACACATTTATACGGGCTGTCTGGCAGGGAGCTGGGATGGAGTTTAAAGCTGGAGTGTCTGTGGATCCCAGCGACCACATCGGGAAACACTGCTCTATACCATGTATTATGTTATACACATTTTTTGTGCGATTTTATTTTGAAAGTTGTGGAGAAGCCTTCCTTTTCTTTAGATTTCCTTTAGGTAAGTTATTTTATATTTCTGTGGAAGAGTGTACTTCATGGATTTTTTAGTATCTAAGCTGATGGTGATATTTTTGCCGGTGATGATTTTGTGATTCTAAAGCATTTGTAGGTTAAATAAAATCCTCATTTTTTATGAAATGATATATGATATATGCCTTTCTATGTATAAGTCTACATAAATCAGAGGGTGGGGTTTAAGTGTCCTCTAAACGTTTTGTAGGTTACTCTCTTTGGCTAAAGACATGCAGTCAGTTGAAATGGCACAAGCCTTTAGTCTTGCTTTGTGCTTGCTCTGTGATGCATGTGATACCCCCACCTCACCCCACCCCACCCCACCCTAAAACCTAGAATTGCATAAGTGGTTGAAAAATGGAGAGCAGCATTTGTTTACTGTTTCTAAATTGCTCATATTCTAATCGAATGATGCAGATTGCTCTGTAGTTAGCAGTGTTGCCTTACACCTCTTGGAGTGTGGGTGTGATTCCCAGTAATGGTACACGTAATAAGTAAGTAAATAAGGTCCCTGCAGGTGGAGTAGGATTGCACGTCCATTTGCGTTGTTTGTAATTACAGTCATTCACCACTGGGCGACACTGCTGAAGAGACACTATTTCTATATACCTCCACATTATTTCTATTACCATTAACGGATTAATACGAGGAAAGGCGTCCGAGAGATGCAAGATTTAATTCGCTATCTTCTGGTGTTTCCCAGCACAGTATTTGTATTACGGTGGAATTATTGCGAAAACTCCTTTAAGAAAAGCGCTGCAGTACTGGACCTTCTGCAATTTCATTGTGTCGGACAAAAGTAAAGTTAAATTAATTTCCTTAAAAAGCAATCCCGGGATGGGGGGGTGTATAGATAATAGGCTGCCAATGTCCGTCCTCCAGTGCTGTAGGCGGCAGTAAATCTTTCATAAGTCGCCAACGTACTCGATCATATTGTTTGGAGCAAGACTCTGCATCTCGTGTGATTTTATTTATTTAGTTTTTTTTATTTGTTGTGCAATTTTATGTCCCGGATTATTACTAATACTAACCCACTTGATCTAAAGGGCAGGTATGGCGATTTCGTAAAACGGCGCAGTATGTTGAGCATTTACGACTGGCAGTAGCCCTGTTGGTTGGCACTTCTGCGCTGGACTGAAGTCTTTTTCTGATGATGCCCATCAGCACCGTTTTCTAGCAACGGGCTCTTTCGTGGCTTCCCAAGGTAAATGCGGCATGATTTGGTTATTAGCCAGCTGCTAAGCTGCGCATTGGTAATCGCACATCCGCGATCGAAATCAGGCGTTAATATGCAAATCCGTTTGGAAAGACTGGCACTGAGGCGGACGATGTGCATTTGAATATCGGTTGTAGCAGTGATGAAAATGTGTTATTAATTACGGTAGCCATCAACCAGATGGTACAACGTGCAAGGTTTGGTCTCTTTTATAACCAGCTGTTGAATGCGAGAAGCAGTGTTAATTTTGTACTACATGAAAACAAAACGTTCACCTGTTTGTAAAATAATAACAACAGTAACAATAATACTCAAACTAACGTGTGTCCAGGTCATTTTCACATCGTGGATTTTCTGTTAATACAGATGTTTTGTTGCGCCCTTTTGGGGAGTTTACAGATGCTTTATACTGAACTCAAAGTGATACCTCTGTGGTTAACGACTAGCGAGTGTTACGCTTTGATTTGAATCACAGTATATAATAAGTGTGATGTATTGGAATAGCCTATGTACATTAGTAACGTTTTATAATTTTGTAGCATTCACTTTGGAATGCTGTTTACAATGCGTTGTATTAACCAGGCTTGATTACCAGTCTTAGAATGATGCGTTGTGGTATTTGACGTAGCACTGATGTCTGCAATACTGAGCTTAGTATTCAAAATATCTGGCTTTTATCCATTTATACAGCTGTATATTTTAATGGGGTGGAAGTGCATTACTTACAGATGCTAGGCCTACATCTGGATCTCTTTTGGAACTTTAGAACTCTCGACTTCCAGGTTACTATTGCTCTGTTAAAGGAAACAAAAATCCGTAAATGAAAAACACAATAAAAGAAAACTTATGTTTTTGCTACTTTTTGGAATCTGTATTAGAAAACTGCTCTGTAAAATCGGTTATTTTTGTATGATGCTCTGTGTACAATCTTTTCCATTCTAGGGTAAGGATGGTCACATGCTTAGAGGGTGTCGGTGACTTACAAAGGGAATCAACAAGTAACACAGAGTCAGATAGAAAGAAGGCAGTTAGAGGACAGCAGTTGACCCAAATAAAGGAGTGAGAAAATGTCACAGGTGACAGACTGACTTCAGAGGTGAACAGGTCAGAAGTCATGACCCTATGTATTAAAAGTGAACCTGAACTCTGCTTCACCCATCCAGTGGATACAGCTGCCATGCAGAATCTTGATACTGAGAAAACATCACAACATACTGACTCTCAGTACACTGATGGAGATGAAGTTGCCGTCCACCAAGACAATTGTGGCACACGTGGATTTACAACTGAAAAACCTGAGGTGCAGCTCTGTGAACAGGATCATAAAGAGAGATCAGAAGCAGGCACGTTAATTCATGATGATCAGCCTGTTTTTTCCTATCTGAATAAGAATTGCACTCATGAAGAATCTGATTGGTCAGGCTCTACCCAATCCAGAAGTAGTTCTATTGATACATTTAATATAAAATTATACCAGCAACATAACTCAAATGGAATTCTCTCTGCTTCGGATTTTGTAAGCTATGGATCATATTTGACTTCAGCAAAATCAAGGAAAACCCTTTCAGTTGAAAAAACATATAGTTGTAATGAGTGTGGAAAGAGTTTCACAAATACTGCTGCCTTAACGAGACACACGAAAACACACTCGACTGAAAAAAAATGCATCTGTGCTCAGTGTGGCAAGGGATTTATTAATCAGTCATACTTGAAGAAACACCAGAGAGTTCACACTGGTGAAAAGCCCCATGTATGTTCGGAATGCGGACAGAGGTTTACTGTGTCATATTCTTTAAAAGTGCACATGAGATTTCATTCTGGGGAAAAACCATATCAGTGCACCGAATGTGGAATGAGGTTTTTTACCCGAGCAACCTACAAGAACCACATTTTAAACCATTCTGGAGAAAGACCAAATGTCTGTGGTCAGTGTGGAAAGAGTTTTAAGGATGCAGCCTCTTTACGAAGACATTGTCACTCTGAGAAACCTTACAGCTGTAGTGAATGTGGAAAGAGTTTTACCAGGTTATTCCGCTTAACTATACACAAGAGAGTTCACTCTGGGGAAAAACCGTACAGCTGTACTGAATGTGGAAAGAGTTTTACTCAGGCTGCAAATTTAAAGATACATATGAGAATTCATTCTGGTGAGAAGCCATATAGTTGCACTTTGTGTGAGAAAAGTTTCACACAAGGAAGTGGATTAACAGTACATATGAGAACTCATTCAGGAGAAAAACCAAGTATGTGTGACCATTGTGGGAAACATTTTAAGTATATGTCTTACTTGAAAAGACACCTTAAAGTTCATTTTGGTGAAACATCACAAGGCAGATTGGCAATGACTGTTAAAACTGAATCTGATTCAGATTGTGCCAATTCAGCATATACAACCATCATACAGAGTACCAATGTTGATGAAGTCTATCTGAATGCAGGACAAATCAAATCTGAGCATATTGATCCAGATTATGTTCAGGTGGCAGAAGACCCCAATACACAGTGCATTGATAGTGAGAAATTTACTGAAGCCAAATTTGAATCAAGAGGACGTCTAGCAATTTTCAAGAACATGGACAATTCAGATGCAATGCAGGATCTCAATATTGTCACAGTGGGATTACAAGAATGTCTGGAATCTGAGCAAATTAAAACTGAAACAATTGATCCAAGCTATGACCAGGTGAGAGACGATGTTGATTCCCAGTTTGATGATGATGACAAAATGTCAGATGTAAAGTGTGAACTGAGTGATGGCGTAACAGATTTTATTGAGTGTGCAACTAATTCTGAGACTGAGCTGTGTAAAGAGGGCGAAGAAGAGATATTTAAAAGGGTTTTATTAACTCCAGATACTGGGCAGTTGTCATTTTCCAGAAATGATCACAATAATCAAGAAAGCGATTGTGTAGATTCATTCCAAATAGAGCAGCACCAGCAGGTTAACTCAAATATGAATAAGCATGGTTGTTTGGATTGTGGAAAGAGTTTTAAAAGTCCTTCTACCTTAAAAATACACAAAAGAACTCATTCAAGTGAAAAAACACACAGGTGTAATGAATGTGGGAAGACCTTTGCAAATCGGACTTATTTGGCAAAACACGAAGAAACTCATTTAACTGAAAAAACATACATTTGTGACCAGTGTGGAAAAGGATTCACAAACAGATCCTACTTAAAAAAACACCAGAGAGTTCACTCAGGTGAAAAGCCCCACATTTGTTCTGAGTGTGGACAGAGGTTTACTGTAGCTTATTCCTTAAAAGTTCACATGAGATTCCATTCAGGCGAAAAACCGTATCAGTGTGCTGAGTGTGACATGAGGTTTTATACCCGAGCAACTTTTAAAAACCACTTGTTAAACCATTCTGGAGAACGGCCAAATATCTGTGGTAAATGTGGGAAGAGTTTTAAGGATGCTGCATCCTTAAGACGACATTGTCACTCTGAGAGACCTTACATTTGTACTGAATGTGGTAAGAGTTTTACTCGAGCGATTCACCTAACAGTGCACAAAAGGATTCATTCTGGTGAGAAACCGTACACTTGTACTGTATGTGGTAAATGTTTTAGGCAGGCAAACTGCTTAACAAATCACTTGTGGATTCATTCTGGTGAAAAACCATACAGCTGCACTCTTTGTGGGAAAGGTTTTACCCAAGTAAACTGCTTAAAAAAACATTTGAGGGTACATTCTGGTGAAAGACCCAACTGCTGTGAACATTGTGGAAAATGTTTTACTGATGTGTCATATTTAAGAAGACATATTAAAGTGCATTCAGGGGAAAGACCTCATGGTTGTACTGTGTGCGGAAAGAAGTTTTCTGACATCAGTAACTTAAAAAAACACGAGAGAATGCATTCAATTGAAAAAGGTGATATAGTAAAAACAGAGATTTTAGGCCTGAACTCTTGAAGAAAACAATTAAAACATGCATCACACATAATGTTATCTAAATGGATACCCTAGAAATTTCTAAAACTTAAGTTTAACATATTTGAAATATGTTCAAATATTTTAAGTATTTTAAATTATTCAACATTTTTTCTGTGTAAAGTGAAGTCCACTAGCCTTTTGTAGAGTGATCAGCTCTTGCACAGATAAAGCAATTATCCTTCATGAAAATTTTATAATGCTAATCATGAACGTGTAACTATTTAATCTGTTTATCAATGTATACTTATTCTGCCTATGTATGTTTACATTGTCATTGTTTTTATCATTTGTTTTATTTTTTAAGTTTAAGTGATCACCTCTTCCAGAGATAAAGGTGGAATTAAAATGATAAAATTTTTACAAAGGATAATCATGAACTTGTAACTATTTGATTTTAATCTATCAATAAATATTTATTTTCCGATATTCGTTTTATTATATTGTCATTACTTTTATCCTTTAGTTTTTTAAGTTCATAAGTCTTTATATTTTTGTAAAGAACCTAAATGGTTTTCTGTTTGCTGCTGGAAAAGTTTTTGCATGGATTTTGCCTGTATCATACATGTAATGATGACTGGTATATATTTCATTAAGCATTCATGCCACTTAAGCATTTGAGCACATGCATTAAGCATCACCCAGTGAGTCCCTTTCAACTTATTTTTTCTCCCTGGAGTCTTACAGAAAACCAGTACAGTTAGGGGATGACAAATGTAGGCATTTTTACCAATAATTTCACAAAGAAAGGAGGTATCACTTTTATGTTTTACTTAGTGCAATTATAAAATTTACTTTTGATATGAATTCGTATTTTTGAACGTCTGATTTTTAAATTTTATAACCTAAATGTTCTTGTCAACGTCCAGTATTTTATTTTTTAATCATCTTAATTTAGTGTATTATCATACTTAGTACTGACTTAACTTTGTTGTCATTGGGTACTGGCTTCGTTTCTTGCCTAAGGTGTTTTATTTGTGAATAACATTTGAACTAATGTTGGAGGTGAAAACCTGACTTTGTAAACTGTAATTTGTCATTAAAGTTTGGGATTCTATTTCAGTAGATAATCATGTGTTTGTTCTAATTCCTGTTAACATTAACATAAAATGGTAAGGAAGCTCTGAGGTTTTTAAGTATTCTGTGAGCTTTATGCGAAAGTTATGTACTGTGGCATTTGCAGAAAGGCAAATTGGTCCAAAAAGCACAGGACATAGATACCATCAAAAGTTTTATAACATTTTTTCCTCCTCATTGCTCAAGAGGCCATGCAGAGTTTTTCAAACATACGTCTGTTACTTTTTATAATTTATAGCTTCAGATGAAATCTGCAGTCCTCAGAAGACAGCATGACACATGAATTTTCTTTTTTTCTTACATTTTTACTTATATATTTATACAGTTTTAGAAATTGTTTTCTATTGTTTTTATTATCTGTATTGTTATTTTTTTGCTGATCCTATGGATCCTGTCCTTTTTTGTACTGTCTTTTTTCATTATTGCTGCTGTTTTCTCAAAGAATTTCCCCATTGTGGGATTAATAAAGTCTAGTCTAATCTAATCTAATCTAATCTAATGATATACTGAGCCCTAATGTTAAAAAAGATATTACTAATCCTAGTTCAGGTGCTACAAATAATGATTTGATGGTGAAAGTATACCCATCGAAAAATTTAGCGTGATTGTGGGAAAGGTATGTTGGTTTTTGGTTATTTTAAGAACCGGTGTATATTCAGTTAGAGATCAGGACAGATCGTGCGATTGATCCTCCCTCCCGTTTCACAAACCACCCCCGATCGGCGAAAGCGAGGGGACCATGGTTTTGTGTCAGTGATGGAATTTAAATCTCGTGATAAAAATAACTCAGTACCCCTGAGTTATCAGTTGTTAGTTCACTCTCCGCGCCGCTGTGTGGCGGTAATGCACCTAGTTATCGTCATCGCCCTTTTACCAAGAATAAAGAGGAAGAAGTTGCGTTCTGTGGTATATTGTTTAGCGGAAGTCTACGGGCTGGATTACCGCAAAGCCACTTAATGGTAGGGATACGGGCAGTTCAAATGTAAAAGACAAGCTTGTTGGTTTTCTGTAGCACTGCAACAGTTTGCTCACTTACATATTTGGGCTGATTTTTTGTCGTGACATTATTCTTCTACACAGTTTTTTTTTCCGAAGATCGAGGACCATATACATTTTGCATGTTTTTGTCATTAAGCTATTTTCCCGACTACAAATGCTATTTGAAAATCCGAATTGTTAGTCTAAGGTGAAAAATTAAGCATCAGTCTGGGAATCTACTTGGAAATATTTGTGGTGAAGCGGACAGATTTTCAGCAGCATTATCAGTTTGAGGGCTTTTGCATTCATGCCATGAGGTGCAGGAGGTGCAAACCCGCTGCTCCAGTATCCAGATGCGCTTTTTATTTGTAAGAACCATACGTGGCAAACTGTCACGTACCACCATTTCTAAATTATTTACATACGGTGTAATATGCGTTATTTCCAAATTTCAGCAAATTTAAGCAAACACGTTACTAAAAATATTTATCATTATTAAAATATAAAACTCAACACATTATATATAAGAAAACAAAACTTTCGCTTTATTACAATTTGACATGATCAAGAGGTTTTCAAACATTAAAATGCTGTTTAAATAATGAAAATGATAATTGTATTTAAATATCCCAATATTATTTGTTATCTGCATATTACGCCTTGACCATTTCCAAAAAACCATTTAAGTTTAGCTGTTTCTAAAGATCCGTCAAAGTTTAGTAAGATAAATTAGTGGGACAAACAACTCAGCTTCTAATGAATTTCCAAACGTTTAATATCCACGGTCGTTGCGAGTAAAAATGCTTCGGAACATCCGCGTTCCGCGAGGTTCCAGCAGGCTGATTGGACTGAAGCTCGGAGCTGTCCTGCGCCTGGTTGGCCAGTTTCGGTGGTGATTTGCGACGCCAATCCACGCCATAACGTCGCGACGAATCGGCTGCTGCCATGTGCGGACACGCACTAAACGTGCTGTTGGTATTCTTTGTTTTTGTTGGTTTTTGTTTTGCGGAGTTTTGTTTTGTTTAGTTTTCTATTTCTGTCGTGTGTTGTGTGCGCTGTGGTGTGCCAAAGTATTACATGTGTAATTGTTTTTAACACGAGTGCTATTGTGAATGTGTGGAACACTGTATAATTGTTTCTGGTTTGGCTACCTCTTGTGCTCAACTATTTAGCTCTGGTAATATATTCCCAGCCAGATTTATGTAGGACAGCAGCCAGAGATTGATTTGCTTTTTAATTGTTAAATAAATTTGTTTTATTTATATCTGGTAACCATCTCTCTGCCAGTTTCGTGACGAACTTGTGTCCTTAGTGAGTGAGTTGAGGTCTTATTTCGGAACTTAATTATTGCCTTGGGTGAAACTCCCAAGGTGGCGTCGTGGCATCCATTCACTGTCTCCACCTCTTACGCCGGCCAGCGGGCACATGGAAAATCACAAATGCACATGGAAAAAATTAATGGATGAGTATACATACAGAACCAGACAAGGCTGAATTTAGCTTATTGACAACTTCCACAGAGTGCAGTGTTCATTTTGAAAACACAAAATAATGTAACAATAAAACATTTAAGCTGGGATTTGGGGGTCTTACTCATCTTGGGCCAGGCAAATGTGAAATGCATAGTACATAGCAGGTAGACCTGTGTTAGGAAACACTGAAATTAGCCTGGCCTAGACTGGTTTGGTACCTAGAAAAAATATGGCATTTTGATCATTTCAATTGAATAAGAAGGCACATTTCCATTTGGAATTGGGGGTCTTTTTCATGTTGGGTGAGGCAAATGTGAAATACTACATAGATTCAAGATTCAAAGTGTTTATTGTCATATGTGAGGTAGAAATGTGCATATCTCTGTGCAATGAAATTCTTACTTTGCTGTCCACACAAAAATGCAGAGGTACAATATAATAGAAAGAAATAGAAAAATAAATACTTTTAAATGCAATGTGCAAAAGGGCTTAGTGTGCAAAAAAATTATAGTATGAGGTAGTATGTGTCACGTTCGGGGACCGGCGAGCCGGGAAGCAAACGAGAACAAGCCAGGACTTCAGGAAAACGGGGTTTATTCCCAGGCTGACGGACAACACGTAACGCTTGGCAATGCCGGATCTGGCAGACATGGGGAGACGCAGACTGATATACACAAGACTAGGTAAACGGAACAGGCAACAGGTGAGAACCATCAGGGCTGAACACGAGGTAATGAAGGGGGCGTGGCACACATCGGGATCGTACGGAGCGGGATATGACAGTATGGTGTGGTAGTATGATGTCTGTTAATCATACTCCTATCAGCTGTTAAGGAGTCTAATGGCAGTGGGGAAGAAGGAGTTGTTAAGTCGGGAGGTTCTAGATTTCACACTAATGTACCTCTGTCCTGAGGGCAGAAGTGTGAACTGTCCTTGTTGGGGGGTGTGTGGGGTCTTTGAGGATGGAGGCAGCTCTCCTCTGGACTCTGCGGTGGTAGCTGCTCTGCAAAGAGGGCAGCGGAGTCCTGATGATCTTCTCCGCAGTCTTCACCACTCTCTGCAGGTGTTTGCAGTCCATAGCTGTAGTGCTGCCGTACCACACGGTGATGCAGCCGGTCAGTGTGCTCTCCACGATGCAGCTGTAGAAGTTGCTGAGGATCTTGGTTGACATACCAAACTTCCTCAGCCTCCTCAGGAAGTACAGCCGCTGTTGAGCCTTCTTGACCAGTTGTGTGGTGTTCAGTGACCAGGTGAGGTCCTCACTGATGTGGACGCCCAGGTACTTAAAGCTGCTCATCCTCTCCACTTCAAGCTCCCGGATGAACAGTGACTGATGAGGCCTCCTCCTCTTCCTCATGTCCACTATCATCTCCTTTGCCTTGTCCGTGTTGAGCGTGATGTTGTTGTCCTCACACCATGACACCAAACCGGCCACCTCTCTCCTGTAGACCGTTTCGTCCCCTCCAGTGATGCAACCAATCACTGCGGTGTCATCTGCAAACTTCAGGATGATGTTGTCTTTGTGGGAGGCGACACAGTCTTGGGTGAACAGGGTGTAGAGGATGGGGCTGAGAATAGAACCTTGTGGGATGCCAGTGTTTGTGGTGATGCTGGCCGAAGTCCTGTTGCCGATCCTGACAGACTGAGGTCTGCCAGTCAAAAAGTCCAGGAGCCAGTCACAGAGGGTGGGGTGCAGGCCGAGTGTGGTCAGTTTGTTGATGAGTTTGTAGGGGATGACCGTGTTGAAGGCGCAGCTGTAATCAACAAAGAGCATCCTGATGTAGGAGTCTTTGTTTTCCAGGTGAGAGGGGGAATAGAGAAGGGCAGCAGCGATGGCTTCTGTTGTGGACCTGTTGGGCCGGTAGGCATACTGCAGGGGGTCCAGAGTGTCTGGGATGTTGCTCTGGATGTGGGCCAGCACCAGTCTCTCAAAACACTTTGCGATGATTGGAGTGAGTGCTACTGGTCTGTAGTCGTTCATGCAGGTGGCTGTGCTTTTCTTGGGAAGGGGGACAATGGTTGTGGTCTTGAAGCAGGTGGGGACAGTGCTCTGGCTGAGGGAAAGGTTAAAGATTGAGGTGAGAACATCAGCCAGCTTGTTAGCACATGCTTTGAGGGCCCGCCCAGGGATGTTGTCTGGTCCTGCTGCCTTGTAGGGGTTGATCTTCCTCAGTCTGTTGAGACTGTTGATAGGGGGGAGGGGGGTCGGGTGGTCTGGGTGTATGCATGCCTCCTCTCTGTGCTGTGGCTGGGGGTCTCACAGCGGGTGTAGGAGGTGTTGAGATCATCCAGCAGGCTGCCTGCAAAGCTGATGGTGTTGGCCCTGTACTCTGTGATGTGCTGCAGGCCTTGCCACATCCGCCCGGAGTCAGCAGAAGAATAGAAGCCATCTAGCTTCTCTCTGTACTGTCTCTTGGGCACCGTGATGGCTTTCCTCAGTCTGTACGTCACAGCCTTGTACTCCATCTCATCGCCTGATCTAAAGGCAAGAGAGCGAGTACGCAGCATGTGTCATACCTGACTGTTAATCCAGGGCTTCTGGT